TTTGAGTGGCGTCGGGGCTGGGGTGTCCTTCCAACAAGACAACGACTCCACCGCTGGGGCATTGTTCCCGACCCTAAGTGCCCCAACTGTGGACAGGTAGAAACAAACACCCATGTTTTCTTTGATTGTCCCGTTGCGCGCTCATTTTGGCGTTTGGTGCACCATGGCTTCCGGGGTATCGGCATCTGGAACTTTGTGTCAGGCGGTAGGTGCCCCCGCGGGGGCTTCGCCCTGCTCCTGTTGGCAGTCGGCCAACTGGTCCTCTGGCAGAATCGTTGTGCGGCGGTTGGCCAGCAACGACGATCTCGTGCAATGTGGCCAGTCCTCTCTCGACTGCGGGGTACCCTGCTCCGTCACCTAGACTCCGAACTCTTTTGGTTGGGCGAGGAAGAGTTCCTCAGGCGGTGGTCTTGCCGCTACGTCCGGCTGGTCGGTGGTCACATCCACTTGCTTTTCGCGCCTCTCGCACAGGTGTGAGAGGCGTGGGGTGGGGTGAAAGGGGGGGGGGGGGGGGGGGGGGATATGACGTTAGCCAGCCGAACGCTACGCCTGGCTTACACTGACATTTCTTAGGTAAAGGAGAGAACCCTCCTCGTGTGTGCTGATGAGATGTAAACAGCGGCCATATTTGGTTCGCTAAGTTATGTTTTTTCGCTACCTCCGTCCCTGGATCTTTGTAGCGTACATGTTCCTATTGTATACCGGTGTGATTTACGTCTTGCAGTTTACAGTGTCAATAAACTTTTCTTTAAACCCTGTAACCTCTACCGCTGCATCTGTTCTTAAGCCAAAATAGAAGTCACGTGCAGTTCAGCGAAAGGCCGCTGCGGGAGAAATGGTGGCGTTGTGTTCGTCATTAGCTCGGTGCTCGGAGACAGATTGGGGCCATATTTTTTGGGCTGTCTCTATGGGAGTTTCCCAACTGAGTGTTTTAGTAACGTTGGACGAAGCCTAGCTACGGTCACGTGATGTGGTCACGTTGGCATGGTGAGTGAGGAGAGTAAGGAGGGAAATGAGAAAGAGGCGAGGCGTCAAGGGAGCATGGCTTGTGGAGGCTACGCGGCCGACGTCATGCCATCTCCTACCCTTCTATTCTCCATGCTTGCGGCAGCCGCGGCAGCCAGAATGCATGGGAAAATGGCGGACCTTTTCCTCTAGAGTTACTATGTATGATCTCTATGAAAAAAGGCGTTCCCGTCACAGGCCTGTCCCAGTTTTTACATTTCACAACAAAATGGCTAGGTGACGTAAGCTACCGCCCGATCCAAAGGACTCAGCCGGATTTATCCACTTTACTGCACACGTCCACTCCGTCGCCTCACGTGCACGGCGGATGCTGGGATTCGTGCAAACTATCAGTAAGGGTCTGGGGCCTGCTGTGCTGGCGCAGCTGTACACTGCACTGGTCCTGCCCCTATTAGAGTATTGCTCGCCTATCTGGTCGCCACAGGGAGCCTCAGCTCAGGCGACACTAGAGACCATCCAGCGGCGAGCAGCTTACGGCGTCTACCACTGATCTCAATGACAATTGCTGGATCGCGCTTGCCGCTCCCGCAAGTGAAGCCACCGGACTTCACTCGCTTGGGATACGATTTCCCGTTTTGCTAGCCTTTGCTGCGGTTTTCCAGCGTGCTGTGGACCCTTTTTCTACTCGTTCGTCGTCATTCGCCGAAGAAGTTTTTTGAAGACTCTGTGTATTGTTGAGACTTGCCGTTGTGAACACGTGGAAAATTTTACGAAAGTGCAGTGTCGCAGGAAAAAGGCACAACGCGTCGAAAGGAAGGGCTGGCGGCGTGTTCAAAGCTTCCTTGGCACGCCAAAGTGCCGTGTCTCTGTGCCTTCGCACGCTTGGATACCGACCAAGAATCGACGCCGTGTGGATGTGTTTTGCGAGTGCAATGTGCGTGAAGCCGTATCAAAAGGTACAACTCGTCGAAAACAAGTGTCGCCGGTGTCGCGGCGTGATCAAAGCTTCCTTGGCACGCCGAGTGATGCATCTTTGTGCCTTCGCACGCTTGGATACCGGTCAAGAATTGACGCCGCGCCAAAGTTCTGAACGTGTGTCGCGCGTAGAAGCCTTTAGATCATTTATATATATCGGCCACGGAGTTCTGGATCGTCCAGCTGTTCCGGTGAGTTGCTATCAATAAAAGGGAGAGATCTGTACGTGTTCTTATGTACTATATTAACCATGGCTATGTCCCAAATCTACTCTAATAGATTCCGTGGGAGCACGAATAGGGCAACGTTGTGGAGCCAGGGGGGTTTTCGAAAGCAAAAGTACAAGACGGCGAGAATGAAAATCTTTGAAGCGCGGCCGATATGGTCGCGTGCAACCTGCTGACCAATTACAATTAGGCGAGCCGCGCTCAAACGTCAAGTGCAATTAAGTAGGTTGATAATAAGCCAGCACTGATCAGTGATGAGGAGCTGTTGTGCACGGTATTGTGTAAATCGTCTAAGGACGAAAAAAAGACGTACCTTCCCCTGGACGCTGGATTAAGCTCGTTCCTAAACCGCGAGGGGAAAAGACGCTGATCCAGAGGCACGAACAGCTTCACGCATATTGCACTCGCTAGACACATACACACGGCGTCGGTTCTTGGTCAGTATCCAAGCGTGCGAAGGCACAGAGACACGGCACTTCGGCGTGCCAAGGAAGCTTTGAACACGCCGCCAGCCCTTCCTTTCGATGCGTTGTGCCTTTTTCCTGCGACACTGCACTTCCGTAAAATTTTCCACGTGTTCACAACGGCAAGTCTCAACAATACACAGAGTCTTCAAAAAACTTCTTCGGCGAATGACGACGAACGAGTAGAAAACGTGTCCACAGCACGCTGGAAAACCGCAGCAAAGGCTAGCAAAAACGGCAAATCGTATCCCAAGCGAGTGAAGTCCGGTGGCTTCACTTGCGCTGCAGCGAACAAGCGGGGAAGCGCGATCCAGCAATTGTCATTGAGATCAGTGGCGTCTACTGCCGAACCTCTCCAAGTCCTCGCTTTTTGCCACGGGACATCTCGACAACCCAGCTCTTGAGAGCAGCCAAGTGGAGTACTCTGTCCCGCCGGCGAGATGTAGCCACCTATACGGTTGCTGGCTCAGGTGATTGGTCCTGGGATTTCGCAGGACGACTACCTTCGCTCTGTGCCCCGTCGCTAGTGATGGGACGAATCACCCGAGATTCGGATTCGGACAGATTCGGAAATTTCCGAACTTCCCGCGACGAATATTCGGCAGATTCGGAGATTCGTCCGAATCGTCGCTGGTTGCGGGCGGCAGCATGAACCTTGTCGTAAACCTCGCGAATGCGGTCAGTTGTGCCTTTCTAGCTACTGTTACTGCATATAACCAGATTTCGTCTTGTTTATTTCAACGTATGGTATGTACTGTACTGTCATTCTAGACCCTGGCACGCGCCCAGGTCCAGCTGAGCTGATCGGTGTGGTTGTCGTAGGCCTAACCAATGCACGGTCTCGTTTTCTGTGCGGTGATCGGTAAAATGTAGCGAAACGCTGTTTATTATACGTAATGTGGCGCAACGAAAAATAAATATATATTCAGCCAAGGAAATGATTCGTCTCCTTCTCTAGAGCTGCGTATGTCTGTACCTGTGAGGCGCGAGAGCGACATACCGGTGGCAAAGAAAAACGTCGCACTGTCGTTTCTCCATTCCCGGCAGCAAGTTTTGTATACGTGAACTTTATTTGATGAAAAAGAAACACAATATGGGTGTGTCAAACGCAACTTCATTGTTCGGAAACAGACACTAACTAAATCGGATAGCATGCATTAACGAAGTTTCAGATTGTTTCCCGTGTTCCGATAGCACTACTTAAGTGGATACTCGATCGTCGGAGATAATCGAATCGAACATACTCACTTGTGTGGTGTGTGCCACACTGACAGTAATTATCGGCACGAAATGTGTCTCCACCGAACAGCACTTACGGCATCGATCTCTTGCGGCGATGAAAACATGCGCTTGTATTTCCACGTGCGTGCATCAAGCATGCCTATTTGGGTCGTAATCCAGAACCGAAACCAACTTTCCCGCGATGTCTGGCTACCGTTCTCGATAAACATACAAAATAATATAAACAAAGTGGAACATTTTATTTATTACTGTGATATTATATTACAATAATCTTTTGTGTACTTTGTAGAATTTAGTGAATTTAATATCACAAAAAGTTGAAACACACATCAACGTGATTTGGCAACCATGGCAACGCTCCGAATCTTTCCGAACTTTTCCGAATCGCTTGAGATTCGGCTACTCTTCCGAATCTTTCCGAATCTGCAGATTCGGCTCCGAATCTCGATTCGGATAAAGATTCGTCCCATCACTACCCGTCGCAACGAACGAACCGGGCGCATAGACCCTCTCTTCGCTCGGACCCAACGGCACGACAACTCATGTCTCCTCCGGGCTGTGAGACTTTGGAGGTCCCTGCCTGACGCCATCACTAGCTTGCCCATCACAGACAGAGACGAGGTGACACAGTTCTGCAAGGCAGCAGCCAAACACCTCTAAACACCCACGATGTCTTGCATACCTCATCATACGTCACCCACCTCACTTTTCACCCTCTTCACCATCCCATCATCATCGTCCCACACTTCTCAAGCCAAGAAGCCTCGCATCGCCATCATCGTCTAGCTGCTGGCCACATAGGCACATATGTGTACGGGCGGAAACGCCTTCTATGCGACCTGTACTTAAATGTACAAATAAATATCTATCTATCTATCTATCTACCTATGGTTTAGTTTGACTTTAAAGAAATATTATGCATAAAAAAATGAACGAGACCGATTAATTGATTAATTAATCCTTAAAGTGTAGCGTTTAATCGGGTTAAGTGTTTCAATCGACACCCAGCCCTACAACCAACGCTTCGTCGCAGAAAAGCGCCCGCGAGGTGGCGCCACCAAAACTTTTGTTTGTCATCATCATCGTCATGATGTCCTTTTCCTAGCCTGCTGCCTCTGGCATCTGCTGAAGGGGCTGAAGGTATCGGAGCTACGGAGGCGTCAATCGGCGTCGTCTGCCTGATGAGCCTTACTTTAAAAAAATTACTAGAAAAGTGGTGGATAGTTCGCGTGCGGTGTGCATGCTGCAGAGGGCAGCTCTCACTCGATTCTGTCTGGTCGTGGCAGTGACACAGACTCATGGACGACGATGAACGGGCACCGCTGCTCCAGACTCCCGTCAACCAGGCCGCGAGCGAGTCACTGCGCAGCAACCGCAGTGCGTGCAGTTCGACCAGCGAGGCGCTATCCAGCCAGTCTGTCAGGTCAGTCCTCGTGCCACTGCGCGGAAAGTTTTTTGGCGCCGTTCGCTCATTCACCGAGTGACCAGCGCTACAAGTTTTCCACGGCAACCAAGTTGCGACATGTCGCAGATAAAGCTCGCTGATAGCCGTATTATCCAAAGGCAGATAGCCTTCTGGCCGATCTCTCGTCGAGGTCTCGCATGAAGACCTCGAGGGTTTGACATAAAAATACTCGCCTGTTTCAAGCCGGACCCTATCCGAGGAATTCGTGTTGCAGCGCGAGGATCTAGGAATGAACTCTTCTATCATGGTTCACATCTGTCATTGTATCATCCCACTTTGTGTTTAATTTAGGTGATCACTCTGTCCTTTTTATTCTTTCAGTTGTGTAGGGAAAAGTAATGTATTCATTCGGATGCAACCTTCACTTATATTTGCTGTTGGAACTGTCACAGTGTTGTAACAAGGATGAAGCCTCGTCGGGTGGCTTGAGCTGCCTCTTGCTTCACCCTCCCACACGATTGCCTGAAAATAAGCATAATTATATTCATTCATTCTTTCAACCTTCTGGAGCGTACCTAAAGCCACATTAGTACTGCTTATACATCGTACCAAAGACATCCCAAGACGTGTTCGAAATGTGGATAGGTATGATTCGTCTGAAATTGGCATTGTTATCTGTGGTCTCCCGCAGGAAGCCCTTCCACTACCCGGTCGGGGAGCAGGGCCGGGTGCTGTCGGATCCAGACTTGAACGCTGCGGCTACCTACAGTCGCTATCGCTACTACAACAAGCTCGTGCATCCAGCCACACAGTTGCTGGTCAGTCTTTTTTTGTCGGATACGCTGAGGGCCGTCTAGAGACTTAAACGGGGCTACGACAGACGCGGGTGCCAGCCTTTAGAAAGGGCTTCTTTAACACAAGCGCATGGTGTCGACATTCTGACCCGCGCACTTGTGCCACTTTAGCACGATGTCTGAAACGTGTCTCCCACCGACGCGTATAGTAGCCTCCTATTCCGCCGACGCATGGAAAGTGGTCTCAAACTGGCAACGAATGACGACACAGAAGCCGAAGTGTCGTGCTATCGGATGCCGCGATCACGGCAGTTCGCCGTAGACGTTTCAGTAAAAAAGTATGAGCGAAAGTGATTGTTACTGTTGTTGCGGCGCCCCGAACGCTGGCTGCCGATGCTTCCGAGCGTGGAGCCAGTTCGAACCTGGCCAATCTCCTTTCATTTCATTTATTCAACCCTTAAAGGCCCAATGGGCATTACATAAGGGGGGGCGAGGAATATAAAATCGAAATTACAGAACACCGCACGAAGCGAAAAAAACAAACAAAAAAACATCAATTATACATTTGTACACGCTATAAAAATAGCAGGGAAAATCCACACAGAAACAAATGAGGTCAAAAATCACCAACATATCGTCTATGTAAGCACTCGACAAAAAAAAAATATATAAATAATAATATTAAAAAAATAAAATAGAATAATACATATATAATAAAATATAAAAATAAGGTAGCCAACTATGAAAACAATGTAGAAATCGCCTCACGGAACAGGCCGGTGTCACTAATGTCGACTCTGGCGTTGGGAAGGTTGTTCGAATCGCGGATGCCTCGCGGGACAGCGGAGTTAATAAATGCATTAGTTTTACAGGTTAGGTGCTTGAAACTTTTGCTATTAGTGGTTCGATGGGAAGATCTGTTAGGAGGCTCAAGAAAAGGTATATTATTATCGTGATAGTAGAGCTTATGGATGAGGCACAGAAGAGCAATTTTACGGCGGTTTTCGAGCAGAGGGAGAGAATAACTGACTTTTGGGAGTAGAAACACTTATATTATAGGAATAACTCAGTGTTATAAAACGTCCCTCTCGATTTTGGACGGCTTCGATACGTTTGGTTAAGTAGACTTGATGGGGGTTCCAGATTGGTGAAGCATAATCAAGTTTTGGGCGAACGTAAGTTTCGTAGGCTAGTTTACGGAGTTGAGGATGTGCTGCCTTGAGGTTACGCTTAAGGTATCCGAGGGTTCGAGAAGCATTAGCAGTTACGTTGTTATTGTGGGTGATCCATGAGAGGTTAGAAGTGAGGTGAACTCCCAGATATTTGTCAGAAGAAGCAACACTAACAGGCGTGTTACCAAGAGAATGGGGGAATGAGGAAAGGCTTTTTTGCAAGTAAAATTAAGTAATTTGCATTTTGACGTGTTTAGGGGCATTAACCATTTGTCACACCAATTATGAATATTGTCGAGATCTCGCTGAAGGATTAGATGGTCATTTGAATGATTAATTTTTCGGTATAGCACACAGTCATCTGCAAACAAACGTATGTTAGAGGACAGCAAATTAGGAAGGTCTTTAATATAGATAAGAAACAGAAGAGGCCCTAAGACGGTGCCTTGAGGGACTCCCGAAGTTACGTTAGAAATGCCAGATTGAAAATCTCCATTGACAGTCCTGACGCGCGGATTTCCTGGTGACCTTTGTGGCAGGCTATTCCCGACCATGTGGTGCCGGCCTACTTCCTGGTTCCCTTCTTCAACACTGAGGTGGGAGGAGAGCAGAGCAGCCTCGTGACGATGTGAGTGGGTGTCGCGGGACGACCGGGGAACTTGCGGCACACTCGCGTTAACTTTGGTCTCGGCGGGTCCCGACGCTCAGCGAGAAAGTCAGCAATCTTGCTGAGTTTCTCGCCGAGTGTCCATCTAAAACACCCTCTGTGCACGAAACACGACTTGTTGAAACCCACTGTAGCTTTCTTGTTGAATAGGCTACCTAGGTGGCATGGAAAATGTAAAAAAATAAAAAAATTTTCAGAATTCTTTAAAATTTTTAATAGTGCATTTTGTATAGTTTTTCGTGTAAGTATTGGGGGGAGAATAACGTCCGGGGACCGGTCCTCAAAGGGGAACCCGATGCCTGTCCCACCGCGAGGCCGACGGTTACCAGCGAGGGCGGTCGCTGCACCAGGTTTGCCAACGCCGTGCCAGCAACGACAATCCCGGTATCCAACAGCGTTTATTGGTAAACAGGGCTCCCCAACAAGACACTGCAGTCAAGCAAGCCGCAGCACCCGCTGACCTGAGAGCCAAAGGGGCATTGCGAGCGGAGTCATCGCCGGTGGTCCGAGCTCACGCCACTAACCGTCGTAGTAGGAGTTCGGGCCGGAGCTTTCCGCAGACGGAAGTCCACTTGGAGGGGGGGACGCCGACTGTTGGAGCCAGAGGAGATGCTGGCATCGAGTCATCGCTGGTCGGACGAGCTTGTACGCCGCGACTCGACTTGTCGCCCGAGACTCCTCGACCAGACGGTCGTCCACTCGAAGGATGGAATGCCCGACTGTCCAGCGCGATCTCGCTGGTCTCCTGAAAACGGGAAATGCACGGAGGAGTGCGAGAGTATTCCAACATGGTAGCATACTCTCCCCGACACGATACGGAGCAAGCAGGCTCGAAGGCAGAGGACTCTGGCCAGAACGTCCGTGGCTTATGCCTTCTCGGGGAGGGAAATCAGTGGCTCTCACAATATGGACTTTTGCTGCAGAAATATGCAACAGAGTAGCAATTTTTCTCGAATAATCCATTCACGACAATATTGAAACCTGCTCCCATTTGAGCATACAGTGCAATCCACTTTTAACGGTAATGAGTAAACCCGAAAATTTAATTGTTATAACTGATTATCGTTGTATCTGAACTAGATACTGAGTGTTTATAGTCTAGAAGCTCTAGAAACTGACCGTTAAGAGCAGTGCATCGTAATATGTAGTATCGTCATAAGTGGATTGCACTGTATATTGCAATCATAGTAGTACACACGTGGAATTTTCAATATAGTTTCACTGCGCCGAGTGGGGGGTGCGACTTATACAAAGGTGTAACTTATACGCCAGGAGACATGGTAAATATAATTAAACCACATGAAGCAGGTTTGCTCATTTGAGAGGTTGAAAAGTCGAGATTATTTTTCAAGAGCAGTGTTTGAGCACTCTTCCTTTGCAGATTCGCCATCTGGAACACAATGATGGGCACCTCTCTACTGAGCATGCCTTGGGCCATCTCGCAGGTCAGTGGAGTCCCAAAGCCCTCTGGGGGCCTCCTGCTAGACGCGACCTACGCACATAACTCGACGAGCTTAAACCCTCGTGTGCCTCCTCGGCTAGTTGTTTATGCACATAGCTCGATGAAATCCAGCGTGTCGATGTATTCATTAATGCTCATTTTGAATTTACATTCATGCTTCAACTATCGTTTTTCAAGTAAAAGATACGCCAAAGTATAACATCCCAATTACGTTACGTAACGCACTTCCGTAACGGAGGAGCTTTGCAGGGGATACAGTTTGGACACCAGCGCTGCGTCAACGTTTGTCCAGAACCCGCCCTGCCTTGGATGGAACGGAAGTCCGAGCCGAACGCCAACGCAGCGCCAGTGTCCAATCCGTTGCTCCCGCGCTGGCCTTCTCCCAGGGGACAGAAGATTCAGCACCATGGCCGCGTTACATAGAAGCGAGCGGGCTCACATATACAGTGGGAGAGTGCGCAGGAGGCATGGCGGGCGAAGAGGACTGACAGGTGCTTTTCAAGGACACGCGAAACACCGGCGTCTAAGCGGATCGTGGGAGGCACAAGCTTCATGTTCTGCTCTTAGCGGAGGGCCAGCCTCGGTGGGAATTTCTCTCAAAGACGCCGCGTGCGACGAAGTTTCCATTGTCGTGGGGCAACGTGCGTGCCAAGTTGGGTATGCGCGTTAACATGATGTGCGTACCAAGTTTATTCGGACCGCTTACGATGTGCGGACGGAACAAGACGCCAACTGCACCGTCTGCAGATGCGCTGCAGGCAGTTTCGGGTTGCACGTCGCCCCCGCCCTTGCCACGTCAGCAGAGACCGAAACACGTCTCGGACTGGCATGCCCGGTGTCCACACCAGCTGGGGGTCGAAAAAGGTCCCGAAGACAAACAGTGCAATCCACTTATAACGATAATGAGAAAATCCGAAAAATCAAATCGTTTATAACTGATTATCATTGTATCTGGACTAGAAGCTGGGCGTTTCTAGTCTTGAAACTCTAGAAACTGATTGTTATAAGCAGCACATTGTTATATCTGGTATCATTATAAGTGGATTGCACTGTACAATGCCATTGCGACTGACATGTCACACGGTCGGACGTTGCGGCCCTGGCAGTTTTTGCGGAAGTCCCTTCGATAAAGTGCGCGGAAACCCCGAGGCCGCCGTCGGTGCCGCTCCACAACCCGTCGCCGCAGAAGCTTTCACGGAGTAAAGTGGTGAAGCACTCAAGTTGGTTCGTGACTTATAACATAAAAGCGCTAGCATGGGACAAGGACAAAAAAAGAAAGACAAACAGGATAACCGCTTACTCTGAACTGGGCATTTATTTAAAAATAACTAAAGCAAACAACCACTGTTAAAACAAAACTCGTCAAATCACCCAATGACGTCGCCCATCACCACGTGTTAATAAAATCAATCTCTTTTTGATGCAAAAAAATTGACGGCTGGCTGACACCGCCTTCTTCGTTGCAGAGATTGTCTGCGCTTGCCCAACTTTCAAAGTACCACGACTGCGGGGAGGGCCTGTAAAAAAGTTGTGCGGAAGGTGCTAGAAGCGCATGCTATAAGGAAAGAGGGCACTGAAGGCTGCGTCAGCCAGCCATCAAATTTTATGCGTCAAAAAGAGAGATTTTATTGACACGTGGTGATGGGTGACGTCATTGGGTGATTCGGTGCATTCCGTTTATTGGAGCTTGTTTGCTTTAGCTGTTCTTAAAATGAATGTTCAGTTGAGAATAAGCGATCGTCGTGTTCGCCTTTATCCTTTGTCCTTGTCTATCATTAGCGCTTTTCATTTTATAATTCTGCGGAGCGTTGAGCTGAGAGCGGCCTATGGCAAGACGAGGAGCGTCCGTTGGGTTCAACTCTGTTGCTATGCCACTGCCAAGATTCTGGCAGGCAGCAGCGTGACGCTCGAGCGACATCACCCAGTGGAATCCAAGGGGCGACGTTTAAGGGCGCGACAAGTGCAGCGGTCGGAGATGTGCTCCAGGCGATAGTGCAGGAAAGGGGCAAACCGGGCGGTTGTCTGTGTTGCAGGCCGGCTTTGCCACAGGGACCCTTCTGATCCTGGCCATCGGGGGGCTCTGCCTGTACACCGCCTTCAGGGTGCTGGACAGCACCCGGCTGGCAGGTGGGTGCACTAGGGACGCTCGACTTTCGGATAACTTGCTAATGCAGAGTGTGCTTTACGAAAAATCATTGCGAACGAGCGTAAGGAACAGTTGTTGGGAACGACCAATGTGGACGAGTGGCGCACTGGGAGGATTATGTAACGTTGAGGTGAAACGTAAAGCGTACAAAGACCCGCGTAAAATTGATATGACACCTCAGCGATGTTCGCATCTTGGTTGGTACAGTGGCAGTCAAATACAATTGACCTAATTTCTCTTCACAAACACAAGCCGTCTCTTGGCTCCCGAGAGACTTCCGGTCGCCCCATTTCTGCAGGCCTTCCGAGCCTGTTGATGCCGTAACTCCTAGAACATGGAAGTTCTACAGAAATCATGAAGTTGGGATTTAGTGTGGTCCTTGTGCTGTGCCATTCAACAGATGAGAGAGGATCAGTCGTCTTACGGGAATAGTAAAAAGGCAGCAACTATTTTGACGTTTCTCAAAAATTATTTTTACATCTATGACGTCACTTGTAAAACATAAGAATAGTAGCTTTATTATTTCGGCATTCCCCGTTACTGCAGCAGCCGTTTGTGGTTTCATTCTGTTTAGTTTCCGATTGTGTTGTCGGTGTTGTATTGATGGAGTCGTGGGTCGCTGTATTGCATGCCTAAGAAGTTCCTGTCCTACTCAGCTTTGGGAAAGTCCTATTCGGTGTGCGTGTGCTCGACTGGCTCGGTGGGTAATTCTTTCAAGCATGACATGCCTGGCAGTGATGTTCTGAGCTCTGGCTTGTAATTTCGGTAAACGTTGCGCTTAAAATGTTGAATTCAAAGGTGAGCTGGATGTCCCTCTATCTTGCCTGGACGTAGCAAACACAAGTGCATGCACCACGTAACACTGGGAGTTTGGCACACTTTTTGTGCCTCCACGCCTTCACTACCATGCGAGTGCACGTTCGTATGGTCACGAAGTCTCACTTTGCATCTGGCTCCCACCCTGTTTCCAACCAGGTTTCGTGGGTTTGTTTTTTAGTTTAGCTTTTGTTTTCGGTTCATATATAACGAGTGGCTGGGCTACGAAACAATCGGGGTAATAAATAAAATGTTGCAAATGCAAACACAGCTTCCTTGATGTTTCTTGACCAGTGCAAACAAACGACAAAGGTTCTGATGCGCTGAGCAAAAAATTCGATATTTCAGTCTGCGCCACGGCTGTACGAGATACGCTCATTTTCCGACAGCAAATGTCGTTCAATCGAGTGCAAATTTTTTTGCCCGGCTTTTCTGTTTATATAAAATGCTTCAAATATAATTATTGTGAAAAGGAACAGTACTGCATTCTGTAATGTTAAGCACAACCAGCAAACATTAAGTGCAGCCTGATAGTTGATCAGTTTTTCTTGCATTTCCCATCACCTAAAAGGGCATCAAAACTGCAGTCGACTGCACAAATTTTGTTTTCGAAACACTCGTGTTGAACTGCAACACAAACTGCAAGCAAGATGATATTTTTTGCTGCAATTTTCTACCACTTTCCAGTTCGTACTCTGAAGCTCCCTAGTTTCATGTCTGAGACATCTTAATAATGAAAAAAATATCTTAATGGGAGATGTCAAAATGATTTTAAAGATATGTTTACGTCTCCAAGATGTGGCGTCACAGTCATCGAAATAATACTTCAGATTATTCTGAAAGTGGACGTCGAAATTGTCACTGTTTAGTAAAAAAAAGCTCCAACAAATCTCTCACTAACCGGTTCTTCAGCTAACCACCTGGAGAACTCGCCATAAAACATTTCACAAACATCGTAAGAAGCGGTGCTACAGTGGGGGTTGTTTATCTTCTCATTTCACCGGAAGTTCGTGGGGACGCAAAGTGCAACGACGCCTCTTTTCAATGCTTTGTAAAAAAGGAATGGCCACACTTAGCCACAAAAATTACACTACCTTGATCATGCTGACAAAGGGCGAAGAGCAAAGCATGTGTTTTAATGAACTGGGCACATGCTTGTCTGTATGTGACATCACGAGGTCACACAACCGTGATATCACAGGATGCTATGGTGTCGTGTCACGGCGCACTATTTAGTGACAGTTCTCCATGGCTGTTCTTTGTGAAGGTTCTTCAACTGTTCTTAGTGACATTTCTTGATGATTGTTCTTTGTGACTGTTCTTTGCGGTGCCTTTTCATGACAGTTCTTTAGTGAAGGTACTTTGTGCTTAAGGACAGTTTGTGGCAGTTCTTCGAAACATTTCTTTCAGATGGTTCCTTGTGACAGTTCTTTGGGATGGTGTTCTCATAAAATCTGATGATAAAAGACAGTTTTTTAAAAGCTTATGGGAATGCAGTGTTTTTTTAAGGTCCCAGGAAACCTCGTGGTGATGGAGGGGCCCACGGGGGGCGGGTCGTGCGCAGGTCCTCCAGGAGGGGGACCCGTGGAGTTCTCGGACGTGTGCAGGCACCTGCTGGGCCCCTGGGGGGAGCGCCTGGCCATGGCCTTCTCCCTCCTGCCCCTGCTGGGGGCCTGCGTGGTCTTCTGGGTCCTCATGGCCACCTTCCTCTCAGGCACCGCCCTCTTCTTGCACAGTGGGTGGGCAGGGCTCCCATCGCCGGACTTCTCTGCGTAGAAGTCTGGTGGCAGGGTTCAACCCTATCTTCACTGGACTTCTCTGCCTCTGCTTACTTTTGGTCTTCTGGAACCTTTCAAAACGATATGGCGAGTTATTGCGTGTTTGCGTCAGTGGTCACTGACAGGATGAGAACAGCCCTGCCGTTCTCATCCTGGCAGTGAAAATAGGGTGGTTTCATCTAAAATCAAACACGGGTGTTGGGGTGGGTTTTTTGATTTGTCTCAAAAAATTGCATTATATAGCCTCATTTCTGCAGTGTACAAAACCAATTTTAAAAGTTTTGTAGAGATATTATTTATCTTGGCAACACCTTTGAAATGAAGGAGGCTGTAGAGTGACCATATTCCTTAACGGGAAGCTACGGAGCTTCTTGGAAAAAATGAGTTAGAAGTGAATTCTAGTGTATTTTTACCCCCTGAACCCGAATACCCAAACCATTTGCTGCGCAAGTATTGTTAAACGCGAGAAAAACGCGGAAGACAGTCGCTGTACGTGACGTCATCGACGGATATTTTGGCTGCCCAAGGCTAGGGAGGCGGGGCTTCAGTCCTATTTTGAAATCGCTCGTATGGCTCTCCGGCGCGTCGCATTGAAATATAATTTTGATATCTGTTATTCTAAAGGCCAAATGAATGCAATTCAAGCGTTTTTTCTTAAATGTAGAAGTGCCCCATCTTCCCTTTAAAGGGCAGCTCCAGCCAAAACTCAAAATGAAATAAATTACTGGTATCGCTGTAGTGACATAAAATACGACCCCAGCCAAAATATTATGTCCGTAGGACGCCGCATTCTCAACTAATGCCGATAACAAAAATGCGACCCGCCGCGAGCTGCTGCTCCTTAGCGGGCGGCCAGCGGATTGCCGATTGCTAAAGCAACATTGGGCCGTGACGTACGTATCATTCTCTTTTTTTCCTCCGGTCCGGGTGTTGCACAGAGTGCGCTTCTTTGAGCCGCTATAACCGCTACTTCGGCTTGTGATTGGCGTGTTTAGCCGCTGGTTTTATCTGTGGCCCGTGTAGCTTCGGTATAGCCTTTCGTTTATTTGCTTGTGAGGACTCCAAGACTCCTTTTAGCGAGCAACTCGGTTCGCCCAAGACTGCCCAGCTGTTCCTCAAAAGATGCCGAGTGCAATTCGTAGCACTGTGGGCTGCGCAACACGGAGGTGCTTTTTCACAAGTGTCCGACGGACCGGAAATTGGAGAAGGTGTGGGTGAACGCTGTTCGACGAGTGGACTTTGGATTTCGGCATTTACGCGCCCAAGGAAAAAAGAACGAAAAGCAGTCGAGTACAGCCCAGCACACGTATGTTCGGGCGCCGCGGCCCGCGCCGGGGGGCCTCAAACCTTCGTGTCTGGGACTGACCCGCAGCGCGAAAGCGAGAGGGTCCCCAGTACTGTATGTCACTGGCAGCGCGGTGTAAAGCAACGCCGCTCCATCCACGGAGCTCAGGTGACAATTTAGGCCTAGCGACGAGTACGGAAGACTACACACACGGCGACAGCCACCGAGTACGGCACCGAACGAGTTCACGGGTTTTCCAGTCGCTAGCTTTTGGGTATACACACTAACTCTTGCTACATATGCTCGATAACTACCACGTATACAGAATTAAAATAAAATCAGCTTACTTCCTATCTTTAGACGGCTAGCGCAACAGAGGTAGGTGGCGCTCGGCCTGCGTACTCGTCGAACGAGAACGATCCTGACGTCGCATTCACATAGTGGCTGATTTCTAGTGTTGCCGGGGCCTCGAGCGGCTAGTTTCGGTTTTGTTGGCCGTGCCCCAAACAAAACTTTCAGGCGTCGATATCTTTAAGGCTACGCACAATAATGAGAAAAAAAATGACATCTTGCAATTCAGGGATGCTGACTGCACTAAAAACAGTCATAATCCCAAAATCGAAAGTATGGACCGGAGTTGCCCTTTAAAGTAGAAAACGGGACATCCCAGAGCGGGAAGGGAGGGGGGAGTGTTTGTACAAGAGATTGAGATTGGGAGAAAAAATTGAATGAAATAACTGCTGTCATTTTAAAATGTCACCGTATTGCACTAAATTTTACTCTCTGGGTGAATATTTCCCGCCTGCGTTCACACTGCTTCTCGGCGACAGTATGCAGCTGCTCGTTACGAAACTATTAATCCACTTGGCCCCACCGTACAACCAGCAACCCAAGCTAATCCAAGCCGCCGGAAAGGGAGTCGCATACTATTTAGTTCAGCAAAGTTTCGTCAACAACATTCGTTTTCTTTTTTTGTGTGTGTTAATTGTAAACAAGAATTGTAAATATCGCCAAATGCCCTACAAAAAAAAAAAGTAGGCACACTCTATGGATTGAATCTGGATCCGCTGCGTATGAAGCGGGCCCTTTTCCACTAAGCTAACTTTTTTTTTTCTGTATTGCAAACTGAAGTTTTTGGTAACCACTAGTTTTATACGAGACCCACCAAGTTCCGCATCGTGCGTATAGCAGTTTCCAGTCGAGGTGGACGTGTTTGTGCGTATTGCTTGAAGGCCGACGACCACACACAAGATTCTGCAAGGCAGAAGATCCTCCTCACCCTGGGGGATGAGGAAACATGCAACGCTGGGCAGGGTAGAAGGGGGGAAAGGAGGGAGCAGGGAAAAAGTGGAAAACGCGAACTGGTCTTCGGTCTTTAACTCATATTTTAAAGTAGTTGCGATTATTTTTGTAAAAGATACTTGTAACGAGTAAGCATAGTTTCGGTTTGCTTCTGCTCGCTTGGTGCCAATTTCGAAACTGTGAACCCCTGCAAAAACGGGACATGATTCTTTATTGGGACAAAAAGACGGGACGGCAGAAACGGACCTCAAAAACGTGACTGTCCCGGCCAAAACAGGACGTCTGGTCACCCTAGCAGGGTGAAATGCTACATTTAGGCTGCATGCTACTCTTACCCAGTTCTGTAGGTTGTTATAAATAGGTAAAAAAAATACACTCGCAGTAACTCTTCTTGTAAGTGTATGATGGATGACCTTTTTTTTTTTCTCTTTAAGTTAAACCGCTTTATGCCAGAAATAAAAAAATGCCAAACATTGCTTCTTTGACGTTTTGGTGACATATTTTGAGCCTTGTATCTCAGTATTCACCACAGCTTTTGCTTATCAAATACTATACACATGTAGGCCTCTACATGTCCTACAGGCTAGTACCGCTTTAGTTTAATTTATTTTTGCGAAATAATTTAAATAAAGTTTAAAATTTGTCAAAAAATAAATTTAGCCATTATTTGAACCCGCTTTATTAAAAAAAATCATATTCTTTCTCTCATATTTTTTACTGTCTCCAATAATGTTAACTTTCTGTCGGCTTAATCAGTTACCCCCCCCCCCCCCCCCCCCTTTTTGTTTTATTTTCTGTAGAAGTGCTCAAACACAGGTGCTTGCACCTGATTTGGCAAAAGGGTAGCTTCGAAAGTTGCCTTTACTGCAAGGTTTTTTAGCCTTAAAGTGCTAAGGGCATGAGGGTGGGAAGTGAAAAGGCAAGAAAAAGTGGTGTTAGAGAGGGGGTAGGGGAGAGAGCGTGTGACATGCCCCCATTAGGCAAAACTGTCTGCCCCTACCCTTCTGCTGTCATAACAACCACAGGCTATGCATTAAGGCTGTGCGAATATTCGAAATTTCGAATAGTAGTTTCGAATAATACGCTATTTGATATTTGCTTCGTGAAGAACTGCACTATTTGCATTTTTCGAAGTGTTGATTGCGGTGGGTTAGCCCCGTTGAGAGCGCTTCTTACCGAGCACCGATGCACTGCGAAGAAGCAGTACCTGCGGAAGCGAGCTCTGCGGGTATTGCTTTCTGTATTACATGAGCGCTTGGTAAAAAGCGGTCTCAACGGGGTAACCTGCCGCAATCAACACTTGGAAAAGTATGAATATTGCAATTGCGTGCTTGCATTATTCAATTTCTTTACTTTCTTGTGATTTCTGATCAGTTATAATAGTTCTTCGAGTTTCCTTCTTACCATATGCAAGTGTGATAAAGAGAAAGATGTTATCAAGAAGGTTTTTGACAAGTCATAATTGTGGAACTCGGAGCTTTATGGACTGGTGTGTTGAAAAAGGAAATTTACTGGATAGCACATTGCACATTTATTCAATTTCTATACATTTAGAAGCCCAGGCATCTATTTGCATTGCTTTGGACATTCAAATTGTTTGCGCTATATCTTCCGGATGGGCAATCATCTTCATCTTCAGAGTACTCCTCAAAAATTCTTATTAACAAAAAACCGAATTTGTCAAAATGAATTTGGGATTACTTTTATCGGTTTATTTCGGTTCATAGAAAAAACACAAATCCTTTTGAACAAATACAAGGCGATTTCTAGGAGGAATAAAATGGGCAGAGTCTTGTTTCTTTGCCCTTCTGGTCTTGGGCATTATATGAACGCTCAGTCTATTCTGTACAGAATTTCCAGACTTCACAGCATACTGGAGCTTTTTTTTTTCCCATTTGGTGAATTGTTTCGTTTCAGGTCACATCGCTGGGACGGTTGGAGACGAGAATGGTGAGCTCTTGTCATCGGGGTTTTGTTGTGCAGATTTAATGGGAGGTGAGGGTGGGCTGACTAGTGGGCCTAGAATTTAGAGTGTTTTTGACTGCTCAATCGGCGTCGCCTGGTTTGTCGGCTGCATTTGCGATACGAGCTGCAAGGAGGCTGAGAAAGTGTTGGTCGCCGCCATTCATGATGCTCCATTTTTTGTTGCACCTTCATCATATGTTGATGATGATGATGATTGTCTTCAAATTGAAACTAACGTAAACCGAAACCGACAATATTCACATATGGTAACAAGCGTAATCTGAATGTTCACACGGGCAAATGTTGCTTATGTCTGTCAGCAAACCATCCAAGTATTTATGTTATGAGAGCTTACACTAAACACTAGAGTTATCTTTAAGCAACAGTATGGTGGAAATCCCTAGTTACATCGACGAATGTGTAGCACTAATGATTTTGCAACATCGATTGTACCTTTCTGAAGCATGTTTACATACAAAACCACACGCACATGCAGATCAAACCCGCCACTAACATCCGTGCCGCTGAACAGCATCGCGGCTCAAAAAAGGGCCTAATTAACCCGTGATTTGTTGCTCAAAAAGGGATTCAATGAACCCGTGGTGACATTCTGCAATATTCCCTCCTATACACTGCAAATGAACTTTTCAGCAAAAGCACGAGACAAGCCGGTGTCCCTTTGAGTGGGTTCAAATGCCAGTGACCGAAAAAAAGTTGGACAGAATAATCCCACTTCCTTAGAGTGAGAAAGAGCGGAACACTTCTGCTTGTTGTGGTAGTGTCATGCACCAACAGGGGGACGGCGACAGCTAAGCATTGGACCTGCGTGTACGCGAAACCTCCACGCTTCCACCACATCCGTCGCATCCATGGAGCACATGCAAAGGAAAAAAAACATTATTTTTAATTATTTTTAAACAACCTAGATGGAAAATGAATGTCATAAAACAAATTTATTTTCAACAAAGAAAACAATTTTGAGAGCTATATTTACGGCGCAAAACGAATTTGTAGTTGGTGCCCGCGGGAGCCGCCCCTGGTCACGTGGTGGACTTGTGCGCCGCCACAGCAAAGTCACCGCCGCCGCACGCTAAGCATGGTGCGCCGCCGGCTCAAGGCGTTCCTCGTACGCCGCCGCCACCGGAAGAAAACACTCCAGCGCGCCGTCGCCGTCAATTTCTGACCAACGCGCAGGTCTATCACGTGGTGTTTGCATTTTTTCAGGAGCTTCCTTTGGGCTCTAAAGGTTACTTATTAATCTTTGTTTTTTGTTGCACTTCAAACGAAGATGAATAAGCAACTTTTAGAAACCATAGGAAGCTTCCGAAAGAGCGCAAGCACCACGTGATAAATAGCAGCCAGTCACGTGATAAATAGCGGCCACTTTTTCGCGGGTGCCCGCGAGCGCCAACTACAAATTCATTTCGCACTGTAAATATAGCTCTAAAAATTTTTCTTGCTTTTTTTCAATTTGTTTTATGACTTCCTTTTCCTATCCAGGCTGTATTAAAAAAAAAAAAAAAATCTTTCCTTTGCATATGTCCGTTAAGTGAAGGTGGCACCCAAAAGTGCCTGCTCAAGTTTTTGCATGCGCTGAATGGTTGTCAAGATCAGACTGTTGCGCTACCTCATCATCACTTGCTTTGCAGCTCTGTTTCAAAGACATATTCTTCCCCAATGGGAAAAGTGTGTTGGTTGTGGAATTGCTTTACAATATTTTCCGCCAAAAAAAAAGAAAGTACCGTATTTTCCACACTATAAGTTGCACCCTTGCATAAGTTGCACTTCCGTATATTGAGCCGTTTTCGCGGAAAAGTTGGGATATAAGTCGCACCTTTGTATAAGTCGCCTCTCCTTGCACGGCTCACGCGATGAGCTTTTTCCGTTTTACGCGCATTGGTGTTGCGAAATCAGAGTTTAACACAATCAGCTAGATCGCACATACCGTTTGGCACACAACTTTGACGTTTCGACTCGCGAGAAATGCCTGTAGCATGGCGCTGTCTGACGGGGGCAATCAAGTTTTTCGCAGCAAAAGGATGTAAAGCGCCCAAAATAAGAAGGTAGTCTGCTTTATTCGAGCGTTCGCATACCGAAAGCATGAAAGTTTAACATGCCAGACACTCGTGAGCCATGCGTTGGGCCACTAGGCCTAGCCTAGGCCAAGTCGCGGAGACGACGCAAGCATCAATGCGCCGACAGATAAATAGATCTTGACAAGCTTCTTTCGGTGCTGCTAAAAGAAGGCTAGCCGCAATCCTTCCTTTTACATGTAGCAACACAGCTGTAGCATGGCAGATAAAAACTGCTCATCAAATAGAAACTTAGACAGACGCGAAAGAACTTTCTGCAATGCATGTATACTAGCCCACTTACCTTTCAGTGTTACTGGAGTGAAGCAAAAGAATACGGAACCAAGGCTGAATTAGGCAACGTCGCTCACACGCTGTAAAAGCTTTATTCTCACTGTCTTGCCTATCTACACTGAGCCGCTTCGGGGAAACTGTAAAATTTCTCGCTTTCCGAGTCAGTTGTGGAAAGTGTAGCAGAATGCGTTGACGGCAGTGCCTCCTGGAAAGGGCAACACCACCTATGGCTACGTGGTCACGTTGCCCCACAAAAAATGGGACACGGCGCATAAAAAAAATTTCGTCGCACCTTGAATTTAAAAAAAAAAATGCAGAAAGTTGCATTATTGTATAGACCGTTCCATTAGGGTCATAGCAGAGAGGGTAAAAGAGAAAAAAATGCACTCCCCCTCTCACCCCGCATGTCGTCCGCTCCGCCGAGTGGGCTGTAGCTAGCGTCCGGCTGGCGTGCAAACTCTGTTTAAAATCGCGTCATTTTGGAACTTTCAAGCGCAGATGCGCAGATTTTGGTATGCCAGTTGTCGTGTAATATTATGCTAGATAAAAAGACTCACAGGGTCCAATTGCGCTGTTACCTGCGTGCAAATAAAAAAAAAAGAAATAGGGAAAACTGTGTCAGATTGGCCGGTCTCTTTGGCAAAAAGTAAATTGTATAGTAAACCTTTTTTTACTATACAAAAGTTTGTAGTGGCGCAGGCCTTTAGCGACCATGAGTGGAAGTCTGAAATAATAAAGAAAACGTGCTGTCCTGCCGCAATACAAGCAGTAGTTGAGGATAGTACTGCCGACTGACTCAACTGCTATTTAAGTAACGGAAAAAAGATATGCTAGTTGATCATTTAGCAAAATAGAACAACAGAGAGCTGTAGGCTGATTTTGGAGTAGCCACAACTATTCTAAGAACGTGAACCACTTCACAACGGCAGCCACGAGCGAGAGTTCGATGTTCGGTAGAGCCCGCCGATACAGCCCAAAGATGGAGAACGGCAACCTCCCAGTTTGTCGTCTGCTAGCGGAGTCGGGCGCGTGCCCTTTCTCTCGTTTTACCCGCCGAACCCGCTGAACTTCCCGGATATGTGGAGAGGGCGCTGCGGTCGAACAAAATAGTGCCGCCCAGGGAGCGCTAAATGGAATGGTCTATAAGACGCACCAAGAAAAATATTTGGAAAAAAATACGCGACTTATACACTGGAAAATATGGTACTCAACTAGAGAAGACAATCAGAGAATATAGGGAATGTTGTTGCAGCAGACGTTGCTCATCTGGGAACGAGGATCGTTTCCCTGGTCATCAGTATTATTTCTCATGAGGAAGTACTCTCTTGTTGTGTAGCTTAACATTAGAGAGTTTTCTCTTGCCAAAGAAAAGTCCCACACTAGAGAAGACAGTTAGGAAACATAGGAAATGTTGTTAAAACAGATGTCTCTCATTTGGGAATGAGGGTAAATTTTCTGTTTGCGGGTATTGTTTCTCGTTAGAAAAAACTCTTATGTTGTGAAATTTTCTCTGGCTAGCGAAAAGTCCCGAACTAGGGAAGTCTGGTCAGTAAATGTAGGGAGTCTGATTCCAGGGGAGGACCTCATCTGCCGGCACGCATTCAACGGGACCCTTGGTGTCGAACTGTCACCCTCCTCGGTGCTGGAGAGCAAGTACACCATGCCCCTGGCCCTGGTGGTGTTGCTCTTCCCGGTCATCAACCTCAAGTCTCCCTCTTTCTTCTACAAGTTCAACGCACTCGGTGAGGCAACGTCCCTCAGTGTAACCTGTGGCACCTGAAGTTGAGCCGGTTCTGCAAGAGATCTGTAGTCTCACCACTCAGAGAAGTAGAACCAACATTGCGTATCAAAATGACTAATTAATTATGTTTGACTAACTACTTAAAATTACATTTGGCATCCTGAGCTGTATTCAACGAGTACCGGCCGTTTGGGAGCAAAAAGAGCTTTGTTTCTTTCACGCAAGGGTTAAACTATGCGTCGCCGAATGCTTACTCTCTGTTAAATGTGGTTTTATTGGTTAGGACCAGATGCCAAAGTTTCAGAACTTACCCTTCTCTGATTCAAACTTATGCCGTAAAATCACAAGCAAGCGCCCACTCAAAAATTTAAAGACAACCATGTAAAATGACGAGCGCCCCTTAGGTCAAGAATGTGCAAAGATATGTCCTTTGTGTATTTTCCAGATGTTACAAAATTGAGGGGTGTGCGCTTATTGTGGAATGGTTGAATGCTTAATGTTTTACGGCAAGCAATTTTCAGCAACTTTTTTTACGGGAAAGTTTCGACCAGCAGTGGTCCAATGGACATGGCGATGAATGACATCTGCCACTGTGGACAAACTACATTTTCTAATTCCACATTTTTTTAATTTTTTATAACTTTTAAACCTGATAACAAGAAATGTTTTGAAATTGTGTCCACTAGCGCTACAGTTGGGTGGAGAAAATGCGTTCGGCAACGTACTGTTTACCTTTGCGGTGAAAACACAGTTTTCTTTTCTTCCATCTGGTACATTTCTAAACACTTTTCTTTTCTTTTTTTTCCAGTTGGTGATGGTTTGTAAAAAGTTGTAATGCTGTTGGTTTTCTACCTCCCTCTAGAGTGTACCTATGAGGAAAATAAAACTGAACTGAAAGTCTTTTTCACAAGATGTAATATTTGTTACGTCTGCATATGTTTCTATCACATAACCTGAGTTCTATGCTTTCTGATAAATCCGAACAGCACCCGCCGGTAAAGTTTTCATCAATTTGGATTTATCTGATAAAACTCCAAATTTTAATGTATCAATGCAAAAAAAAAAAAAATACGAAAGAAAATGACAGTATTTTAAAGTTTGGTCAGCGCACAGGGTCGATGGTGGTCTTGAGAAAATGCCAACCCAGCTTTCTTTCAAATTTCAGACGATTAACAGAAGGGATCTTCCCGCTTATCTCGTCAAGGTTCATTCGGGACAAAAGGTCATTGTACTTTCTGGTCATGACAGAAGTCACTGTTCTGTCTTCCAGTTCGGGCCATACTATTTTTGTTTTTTAGAGGAAAGAAAGGTTGTGTTTTTGTAGCAGTGAAAGCTATGAACCATAGAGATAGCATAAAAGGGGGAAGAGGGGTGAGCAGTTTAAGCTTCTATATTTTACCCTTTACCACTTCACCCCGCGTAGGTAGGTTGATGGATGGGATGGGATGAATACTGGCTTCCCAGCAACTTGATCTATTGATTATGACCAGTTTATTGATTTTAAGCTATTGACTTTTATCGAAGCAACACTTGTTTGCAACGGTTGTCGTGGGACAAATTAGTATTGCCTGTTGCAATGGTGCCAACGCTGAATCCGGCTGAACAAAGATCATTTGATACAACCGCATTCTTTTGAATCTAGCACACATTTACACCCGGATATCATTTATTTTTATATTCAAGAAATATCAAACGCTAAAATTAAGCCTAGAATTTTGGAAAAATTGAGAATTGAACAAAAATAAACTCTGAATTTTTGGCAAAAGAACAAACTCCGAAGAACACTCAGAATTTGACAGAAAATAAACTCAGAAAACACGGAATCCTACATGTAACCGACTACAAGGGATGTTGCAATTCTAGCGGATTGCCGTCACTAAAAGATGCCCTTGTTTATATGTGATCTATATGTTTTCTCTTGGATATATCTGACTGATCTTTTCCTTCATCAATTCTTCTTGAAATGAAACAGCCGGTCCCTGATTGTGGTGTGGCACCAGAGTGCTCCTACGGACCACCCTGACCGACTGTGTGATCCGATGCCCGTATTTTTCTCTCTCATGCCTCAGGGACGGTTTCGGTGTTCTACCTCCTCATCTACATCCTCATCAATGCTTTTACCTGGGGCATCAACGTGGACTTTGTGGATGAGACCAGCACCTCGTATGTTCCATGTAAGTCATAGAGTTAACCCCTTGCCTACTCATTTTTGTTTTTTTTTTTGTTTAAGGATTGTACAGCAAATTTTTATTTTGCTCAATTTCACACGCACAGTGTGTCTTGCTCTAAGTCAGGACTGAGCCACACTGACGTGCAGACGCCAAAGTCGATAGAATGCTCGCAGGACTCGCACCCTTTTCATCGCGCCTGTCACCGTCTATCAAACTGTCGTCTGATTCCAAAAAGTTTGAAAGGCTGAAGGATTCGTCATCACACATGCTCAAGCATTAATCACTATAAAAAAGAAGCTCTTGTAACTCTTCCTTGGTTAAAGCCGCCTCCATGTCAAAGCCACATTGTTTTGGTGCACGCGCTTATGAGCGACGGTTTTATTTTTTCTCGGCTAAATGGAGCGTCTTCTCTCTGTCAAACGGCAAAGCAAACGAACAAACTACCCAAGGTAAATGGAGCAACGGGGGTGGTTTTGCCATCTGCCAGAGTGCGCGCTTAACAAGCGCAGAAACCAAAACACAAGTCACTCGTGGTCGGGCTTTATGGTCCGTAGGGTGTGAAACAATTATTAGTAGATCATTATCTGTGAAACAATTATTAGTAGCTCATTATTAGTAGGCAAGGGGGGAAAGGTCCTATGCGTTGCGGCCACCTCAAAATAGTGAGGAATAGGCGTGGAAATTGATGGTCCCAAGTGTCTCATTTTGCTGCTGACGATTTAATAGGCACAGAGAAGCAACAAATCATCACTTATAGGGCCTGTATCGAGTCGTTTTCCCATTCAATTTTGCAGGAAAACTATGGTGTTGAAACATTATATAAAAATGAAAGACGTTTACAGTTCTCTGTAATGCCGAATTAGAGCGCAGCTCTTGAGGAGGGGAGGGTATGCCCCTCCTCTCCCGCTCCCCTCCCACTTAGTGGGAAATTTTCGCTAAATTTCCCACTACATTTAACAAAAAGTTCCCCGTTAAATTTAGCAGGGAAATATTCCTGCTAAACTTATCAGGAAATTTACCGACATTTTTTTGTTTAATTTAGTGGGAAAATTTTCCCTCCATGTTTAGTGGGTTATGTTGTGGTTACGTCGACGCTGACAGCAACAGCACCGTCGCTCAACCCGGAAACGGGCACCTAAGAGCTGCGCTCTAAAATACATTGAGTTGACAACCCCTCGAAGACATTCAGCTCGTCGTGGCAAAACGAGCACGCTTAACTTGTCGTCTGCTTCCTTTCTCCGCTCTTCTGGTGCTCTCTTTTGCGTTCCTTCTCTCGGGGCCACCAACGCCGGCGCTTACTTGGTATCTGCCGCGTTTTGTTTCCGCCTTTAACTCCGTGATGTAAATTGCTCGTTTATTCCTGTGGTTTTAGGGGTTTGGAAGGAATGCTGTGGTGGATGCCCACGCCTCCAACAAACACTGGGGGGAACTCTTCCAACTCCTCTCGTGTCTACCCTCCTTACACGAGTAATGGACACACTGTGCGTAAACAGAGCTTGTGCTCCTACGCTTCCACAGAGCACCCATGCAGCCAGTCATGGCATTACACATAAAGAGCACACCAGGTACTGAGGTCAACAAAAAGAATCCTTTGCGTCTCGCATGAGAATGTTGTCTCCTACCATAAGTCTCTGGCCTCTTGATGTTGATCACTGTGATTTGCTCTCTGCATACTCTGTAGGAGATGGACGCGCTAGCTTTGTCCATGAACGGTGTGGCTGTAGTAGACTATGTGTGGTATACGACGTACGATGTTAGATTCAATGGTTTCCGAAATAGCCGTTGGGGAGCTTTTTTTTTCCAAAATATGTTTGTCACCGTGTTGCCAATCTTTTTGTATGAGATGACCACAAATGTCGGATTGAAATCTCAGAACGCCTAGCTTTGACAAGCACTCTAGTCGAGCAACCATGAGCAGTTTCAATGACGGATAAAAATGAAATACTAGCGGTCACCAAATGTTTTTTATTGGGTGGGAAAAACTGCAACGGACCGCCCCTCCCTAAGCTCCTGAAGATCAACTTTGTTTTATTAAAATTACACCAGCCAAAAGTTTAGTTTTTGGTGACATAGCAAATATTGGGTCAACAAAATAGATCTGGACAATGTTTCCACCGTAACGTCACATCTCAGCAGACTCCTCCTGCCTCCCGTCCGCTAGCCGAATGCCTACCATGCAAACCCCATGCCTGACCCATGAATCCACCCCTGGCCCTGGGTGTATTCCTTCCCTGCAGTGTTCAGGACCACCTTCCCTGCCCTGACGGGGGTGCTGTGCCTGTCCTTCTTCATCCACAACTGCGTCATCTCCATGATGCGCAACCAGAAGAACCCCGAGCACAACGTGAGTCCTTGTTGCTAACGATGCGCAGCTTGCGTTCGCTCTAGCAAAGGACAACAGCAGATGACCAATTAGTATGCATCTAGATGAAAGAGATATGGATGGGTAATTAGTTATGACCGTGATTCTCAATGGTTATTGTTTTCCGGACCTTTTGTGGATCGACGGAGGCGATGGTGGGAGGTTTAGGTTAATTAAGATAATGATTGAATAAATGGTTATAACTAAGGGCTAGTGTGAAATAGAGTTCTCCCATTGACGTGCAGAAGAGAAATTTCACCCAAAAATTGGAACGTTTCTTGTCAATCTGAAAAAAAGACGTCTTTTATTGCCGGGCTTGACCGATGAAGCACAGCTTCGCAGAACCCTAGAATGCCATTGTGGACCCCCTTTTGAGAACCAATGAGTTACAGAAGGAATAGAATGTTTGTGCCTGTGCACAGTTTTGTTTGATTTGTGTTACTGAACATGTAGTGATGAGCCTCATTTTTATGAGACGGCAAAACCGCCAGTTGTTGACATGCGGAAAAATGTATGCAAAATATTAATTTCATATTTTGAATCCAATATCAAGGACATTAGATGGCTAGTAATCAAGGTGTGTTATGGCAAACCTTTTGAAAGGCATTTGTGAATTGTGGAGTTTGATTTCAAAGCAATTAGTACTGTTTCTGAAAATAATATTTTTCGGTCAAAAATAGAATGGTTGTTGCACGAATACGTTGGAAGATAAAGTGGTGCAGATGGAAGTTTCATGGATTTATTTTCCAGTCACTAGAACTCGAGAATGTGTCGCAAGTGCAGAGGATAGTCACAACAGTGACGCACCAGCATTTAGAAAAATATCATCATTACGAAAGTATAAGGAGGCATTCAAGCTGGCTGAAGGGTACTGCTTATTCAAAACCAAGGACAAGTTAGTGTTACAATGTGTCTCAAAGCAAGTGCTCATAAGTAAATGTAAATTTCTCCAAAACAACCACATTGGTTTTTTTATATGTACACCTCCGCTAAGTGAGAAACAAGAATATATACCGCAAAATACTAGAGGACCGCCCATCCTACTTTACTGGAAACTGGATTAATGTTGACATAGGCACTTGTCCAGTCAAATCAGGCGCTCAGCGTATAATTTGAAGAATTCCCAAGTTTGGAACATGTTAGTAATGGTATATAATATATCGGGTGTTAGTAATGTTATTACCTATATAATAATATGAATACCATATTATATTATTATATAATACTATAATATGGTACATGGGGTGTTTTTCTAGGGCTTCATAGATTTGTCTTAAAAATTCCATCAAAGCTAGACAAATGTGGCTATGCAGGTGGGTCATACGGCCAGGGAGACTTTAGGGGAATAATCGTCACGATAAATTGGTTAATTAGCTCATGTTTGTTGACAAAGTTTTTAATCATTGACGATAAAGATCTGGTTCCAACGAGAAGCTGCTGAACGTCCTCGAAAAGCACTACTAAATAAATAAATTTCAGAAAGACTTGGGTCACGCAGGAATTGTGGTGGTGCCCTAAGGTCTTGTGCGATGGGCGTAAGGCTGGTGACATGGATGCGCCCGTGCGGTTTGTCCATTTCTTATCGTTCTTCGTGTTTTCGCACTGCCAGCATTGTGCCCATTGCACGAATGGTAACTTGAGGCCATTACCGCGCTTCACGCGTCCCCAAACTTTTCCTACAGTTGGCTATTTTAGTGGTGTTCAATGACGCCTATCAAGTTTCTAATTGATACCTTGTTTATTTTCACTTACTAAAAAGTTAATCGACACATTTTGGTTAATTATCTTACTTATAACGATTAACCCCCATGTATTATTTCTCTTTTGCAATAAACCTCGCCTGCACAAGATTGCCTCAGTGCAGCTTTCGAGGTTTTTTTCGAAAAATTTTGCAAAGCCTAAAAAATATACCCCCTGTACGATTACACTCGAGGCTCACTTATGCAAATTACCTAATACAAAACACCAAAATGGAGATTGGTTGGTAACCAGCGAGTCACTCCGCGGGCGGCATATTCCAGGGGCCAATGCACAAGTGTCGAGATGCGGAGTTACGCTACTGTCGCACTCGGACTGTACCCGAGAACGGGGCGAAATGATGCAGCGGTGGATGAATATCGAAGCAGACGAAATCCCTGGTTGAGCGGAAATTGACATTAACGATCATGAGCCCAGTTCTGACCGTTAAATTTGTGTTCTCATGTATTGCCGAGCAGAGGATTACCGTAAAATTCCATGAGGGCACCCTCCCTCTTGAGACTGCCCATCCCATTTTCAGGCTAAATATCTGCAAGATGAAAATTTCAAAATATTGCCCCCCCCCCCCCCCCCCCCCCCCCAATTCTCGTCGGACATCACGCGATGTCCGACGGGAATTGCGTGTTTGGCACGATTTCTGGTGCCAATGTGTGTGTGAAATGTGAGTTTGCAGCGGGTTCCCGCGTTTTTGTCTGCGATCTGCACGTGCAGTATTGGTTCCCGTGACACGCGAGTTTGCAGTGAGTTCCCGCGTTTATCGTCCACTATCCGCACGGGCGATATTGGTTCTCGTGGCACGCGAGTTCGTAGCCAGTTTCTGCGTGTTTAATTATCACACCGTGAGACTGGAATTTGCCGCATCTGAAGTCTGAGGTATCCTTTCCCTTGACGTGAGAGTTTGTAAAGGAATTCCCACGTGCGTTGTGAAACACCAATTTGTCCTGTCCGCGATCTGCAGTGTCAGTTCCCGTCATTAATTTTTGATAAAGATTTTCCATCTCATCCCCAAAGATAGCCCACCTCGGATTTTTTACCATTTATCTCTTCATTTTAGGTGTGTGCCCTTATTAGATGTTAGGGTACTTTAACCCCTGAAGTGCCTTGGACGTGCTGAGCTCGTCGACCACTTTCTGGCTTAAAATGCCGTGGACGAGCTCAGATCGTCCAGTGGTTTGTTTGGTTGCCCTCAATTCCACGGACGAGCTCGGCTCGTCCGAGTAGTTCTGCGGCGCTGATCATAGAGGGCAGCACTCGTATTAGTTGGCAAATATTTTTTCGCCTCCGCTGATTTTTGCATAATAAACTTTTCAAATTTTATGTGTACGGTAATACTAGAGGAGTAACAATTCAAAATAAAAAAAAGTGAAAGCCGTTTACAACTCCCTGTAAGACCGAATTAGAGCGCAGCTCTTGAGGAGGGAAGGGTACTGGGGGGGTGAAGTGACCTGGGGGGGTCACGTGACGATGCCGATGATGTCATCAGTGACGTCACTGATGACGTCATCAGTAACGATGAC